TTTTCTGATGAAGGGTCTAGGCCCGAAACGTCAGCCTCTCTGCTCCTGTGATGCTGCTTGGCCTGCTGTGTTCATCCAGCCCTGCACCTTGTTAACATTTCGGGTCCAGTTCCTCAGAACTACTCAGAAAAATTCACCCCGGCTGTTTCTAGATCTTTTATAAGCAAAATTGCTCTTGCATCTGGCAATATGATACCAATGACAACATTTCAAAGTTGTTGACTAAATTGAAGCATCTTGGGACATTTGTGGGAAGCGCTATAATACACTCGATAAATACAAGGTGTTCTCTCTTTACTCTGTACTTTTCACCTGGTACTGAGAGCTGTCAAAACTTGGGAAGTCTACTCCACACTTCAATACTGACATTTTTCACAGACATCACCAATGATATGTACGCTACTTTTTTTCAATATACTGCCCTGGTAACTGGGTCCTTTTTGGATGGTCCACCACGTATAGATCAAAGCTGACTAAGCACATCCCATTCAAAAATTAGGTCTGACTTCAGTCAGTGACAGTGAAAAAAAAATGCGCTCTTAGTGACTGGAAGGATTTATTCAATCATCCATTACTTCATAGCCAATAATAACTTTATTGATTTTTCATTTAGCAAATGACACAACCATAAGGAGGGGGTAATATAAAGAAAGTGAGACAGAGCATGTGTCAGAATCTAATCGATGAAATATCCAATCACCACATGGCCGTGATGTACAGCACACAACACATAAGCAAGCACATCTGAGATTTGGTTTCTTCTTCACGATTGTTTAAGCGAAGGAATAACAGGATACATTATGAAGGCTTTGATTGTAGATCTACTCAAAATGGACACTGGGATTGTAGATCTATCCAAGGTGGATATGACGATTGTAGATCCATCTGAGGTGGATATGGGGATTGTAAATCTACCCAAGCTGAATGCTGGGATGGTAGGTCTACCCAAGATTGTAGATCTATGCAAACTGAAGGTTGGGATGGTAGATCTATCCAAGTTGAATGCTGGGATTGTAGAGCTACCCAAGCTAAATTGTAGATCTAGCCAAGCTGAGTGGTGCCACTGTAGATCTACCCAAGGTGGATGTTATGATGATCTCATGAACATTATTGTGAGTAGTCCCTGCATTAAAACAGCTGGAGCACACTTGGAGAATGTGCAAAGAAATTTGCAGATGTGATTCCAGCAATGTGGTTACTTAATGCCAAAATGGCAACTTGCTGGTAGTCTTATGGGCATGTGACTTTTTCCCAGCAGCATTTGTTGATATAATGGACACTGTCAGATATTTAACTTTTCTTCTGAAAAATGAGATTCCCAAGAGGTTTTTCATTTGCTTCATGAATCCATAAGCCTCCTTCAAACAATGCTACAAGTTCCTGGTAAGGAAAGGTAGAAGCATAGAACTTGTCATTTCTTAGATACTAACCGCAACATGTTTTATGGATAATGAAGACATAGAGACATTACTTGGATATCATAAGTGGAATCCACAATAGTCACGAAAATGGATTCAGGGAGAGGATATTTTGTCACATGGATTGGAGAGGTTGGGACTGCTTTCCTTGAAGAGGCAAAGAATGAGTAGAGATTTCATTGAGATATGCAAAATCCTGAGAGGTCTGGACAAAGTAAATAGGGGATAGGTACCCTTGTTGGTTGAGCAGCAGAGAACAAATGGACACTGATTTAAATTAATTGGCAAAAGAAGCAACAGAGACATGAAGAGAAAACTTATAAGCAGCGAATGGTTAGGATCTGGAATGCACAGCCTGAGAGTTTAGTGGAGCTAAATTCATTCAAGGTGCATGGGAGGGAATTGAATCATTGTCTGAAAAGGAAGAATGTTTGCAAGATTATAGGGAGAAGCCTCTTCAGAGAGCCAACACAGACATGGTGGATCAAATGGCTTCCTTCTGTGCTGAATACATTCTTTGATTCTGCTGACATAAATAGGATTGGGGGAAAAGAGGCAGGTGCATACCAACAGAGAGAAATGTGAAATTAAATGTTTTGTAAACAGGAATATTGAAAGGAAATATGCCTTCATTGTTGGGTTTATAAATGTTGGTGTTCAGGTATAGGTCATTAAACGTGACAATGCAATGAATATGGGTTAACTTTAGAGATATTGCCTGGAACATGACCATCCTACCCCTGGGATGGGCTGGTAAGTGTGCAAGGGGAAAGGGTTCACAATCAGATGGCACAGCAGGAGAGTTACCCATCTCCATTGGCATTCTAGCAGCAATGTTGTAGGTTTTGTTAAGGCCCAACCTCCTTATGGTCATGGTTGGTTGATTATGTTGTTAAAAATAGACATGGGATGGACATTGTTTGATTAAAGTTTGAAAGCACATATCAGGCTCCTGTGATCAGTGGTAGTGTACCTCCCTCTGACCCAGGAGGCGTGGGTTCAAATCCCACCTGCTCCAGATATGTATAAAAACATCTCTGAACAGTTTGATTGAAAATATTTTGAAAGACAAAAACATTTTGTGGCACAGTGGTCGTGTCTGTACCTCTGAGACAGGTTGCCTAGCCTCACCTCCAACCTGCTATGACTTTCTGTAATAAAGGTTGATTAAATAAGTAGAACCAATCCATAAAGAATGGTGTTTCAGTTCTGCCTCTCCAACTAGCTGGATCCAGATTAAAAGTAGCTGTGGAGATGGTTGCCTGAAGATAAAGACTAGAGCGTGCCTTTTTCAAAAAACAGGGAGTTTTCTGGTTCTATCATAGTGTCTCCAACATCTGGGCCAGAAGATCCCATCTCAGCATCTGATGACTATGGAGTTGTCATAATAAGCCCAAACTGACTGATTAAAAATAATGTTTGATCACTTCTTGGCCTATTGGCTAAGATGAAATGTAATATCAATTCTTATCAGTTAATATGAGGAAAGGCAGAATTGAGGAAAATGTCTAAGATAAGTATTATTGATGTTGCAATCAATGGTATTATTATTTTGCAGAATAAATCTTCAAACCAGGGCCATTATTTAAAATTGCTCCAAACCATGACATCATTAGTGAGATTGAGACTAGTAAATCCAAATTGGAAGATTTAGATTAAATAAGTAAGTTACGGTAAAGAAAATATTTTATTGAACAGTGGAAATTGTTTAAAGATGCAACAAAAAGCTGTCAGATTCTAGCTGTGGACATCTCTTCCACCAGGGAGTGAAATGTTGAACCATGCACATGTGGATTTAATGGGTTACTCTTGTGCTGGAAAGTTCAATGAAGTGTACTTTCCCCAGCACTGACTGCTCTCATGATGATAAATCCAATTTTGCTTTTAACCAGAAAACAGCAAGGAAAGGCTGAGGAGTTCTTAATTACTAGACTCTGGCATGGGGAAGGTTAATAGAAATAAACCCACATCAGCAAAGAGTGAGATTGCTAAATAACTGTTCTAGTTCTGGCACAGTATGTTCTAACTTGTTCTGGTGGGTTGCATCTTGCATTAGTTATTTGTTACTGATAGACAATTCCAAAGTATACCTCCTAGGCATCTTCTATCATAAAGTATCAATAAGTGAAAAGTAAATATATACCAACACATCATTATTGGTAGGCTGCAGGCTTTCTCTTCAGAGATGTGCTATAAACCATGAAAAAGAAGAAATTCTGAATTAACAGATTTTGATGTATATTGCAGAGAAAATGCAGTAGTGATGGGGGAGGGGGCTGTGGAGAAAGTAAAGGAGAAGGAGAGAGACAGTAACAGAGGCTGAATTCTACGATCTGCTTCAGGACTCTGATGCCAGGGTGAGAAGTGGATCCCAAGTCTGTGCATGTCACTAGTCAATCCTGCTCAGTGATTTTACAGCAGGCTGTCTCTAAGTTAGCCCCTCTGAGCCCAGTGTCTAGTTAAGAAAATGGGACGAATGGGTATTGCTGAGGCAAATTGAAGTTCAGGATGTTTCAGAATGGAGGTGCCCCAGGAAGGAAAGTAAACCTTAAAACCAAGATTGCTGAAGGCACACCCACTCGGGGTAAACGCTTGCAGGGTGATCACCGGAGTCACAGGGAGTGCTTTCCCTCTCA